ATACAATGAATCGTAAACAAATTTTCAAAAAATTATAATTTTTTAGTTTAAAAATCTAATTGAAAATTATATTTAAAAAAAGATCAATGACCATATGATTTATTAAACCATAATTATATAATTAAAATTAAGTCACACAAGCATTTTCATATGATTCGTTTTAACGATTTGTATCCACCTAATTATCAATTTAACCCCAAGAAATCATTCCCAATTAAACTTTTCTTTTGATAAATCAGGTCAGAGATCCTGTGCCACGTTGAGAAAACAAATATTGCTTCGTAAGTAAGGGTGTTTATAGATAAAATTTTTGAAAAATTTAAATTAAATTAAATTAATCTATTTTAAAAAAGTGGATTAGTGATTATTTTTTTTATAAAGTAAGTCAGTTCAATATTTTAAAATATAAATCAGTTTTTTTAAAATTTAAATAAGTTTGATACAATATAAATATTTAATATATATTTATATATGAATCAAATTTTTTAAGAAAATTGAATTGGCTCAATCCACATTATAAAAAATATATTAGATAACTGAATTAATTTTATAAAATTGATCAATTCAAAATAAATTAGATTTTTTTATATAAATCAATTTAATTATGAAAGGGTTCAGATCAATTTAATTTTTTTTTACAACTCTATTCCTAAGATTGAATTTGGACAGCTTCAAAATAGTGGATGACACTATTACTCCCTCGGCCGGTTACATGATAAATGTAGTTTATAATAAATAAGTATCCTATCCTCCCATAATAAATATCGTATTTTAAAAAAATAAAAATAAAATTTAAAATAAATATAATATTAATTATTATTATTTATTTATATTCTTCTTAAGTTTTTTAAAAAATAATTATTATATTATATTATTTAACTTAAAATAAGTGTTATATTAAAAAATAATTATTATATTTTATTATTAACTTAAAATAAGTCTTATATTAACATTTTAATATAATATTAATTATGTTTTCTATTTATACGTTTCATAATATTAAAAAAAATAATTATTATATTATATTATTAACTTAAAATAAGTGTTATACTAATTCTTTTTAGTATAACATTAATTATGTTCTCTTCTATTTATATACTTCATAACAGTTTTTAAGAAAATGATTATTGTGTTAAATTATTTTAAAAATAAATCATAAAAATAATTTAATGAAATTATTATTATTTTTATTTATTTATTAACAGTTTTTAATCAAATTATACTCTACATAATATTTTGTTAAAAAATAATATTCTATTACATTATTTTTAACAAAAAAATCAATAAAGAAATAATTTTATAAAATTATTATTCTTTATTTATAATTATTAAATTTTCCTAATTCGTATAAAACAAGACTGACACTTTTATACGACAGTTATTAGGGATAGTGACAAAGAAAGTACTTATAAGACAACACTTATAAAATCACTATTTTTTTTAATCTATTTATTAATTTTTTTAGTTTATATATATTAAAAAAATAGTAATAATAAAAATAACCACACTTATCATCAGACAGACAGACAAGGTGAATCAAAGAGGAATACAAAGGAGTTCGACGATTGCATCAATCCCAATCCTAGAGTTTAGCTCTCCATAGTACAAGAAATCACCAAACAACAAGATGAAAGGTAGAAGGAGAAAGAAATCCTTTGAAAAATCGCGTCCCCATGAGCTCCAAAGTGCTCTGTTTTCTCCCCTTTCTCTGTTCTTCTCTCTTCGTACAACTTCATCTTGTTGTTTGGTGATTTCTTGTACTATGGAGAGCTAAGCTCTAGGGTTGGGATTGATGTAATCGTCGAACTCCTTTGTATTCCTCTTTGATTCATATATATATCTCATCTATTACTCTATGTCAGTGATTTGTTTCTGTTCTTAATGCTTTGATGAATTGATCATTTATCTCTGATTTTAGGTTTAGAATTTGGTTGGAAAATGTTTTTTGAATATAGACTTGGAACAAATCATCTATTAGTTTTGAGAGCCAGGGATGGTCTTGAAATTAATTGTTGTAACAAGTTCTGACTCTTAATGCGGGATAATTAACTGAATGAAGTGAAGAATCATTCATTGAGTTAAATATCTTAGAATTTCTTATGCCAAGGGATTGGGTTTGAATGAAAGTAGAGAACTTGTGACACCCTTACTACCCCCAACACATATATAAATAAATCTTGTAAATAAACTAAAGAATAAAATATTCAACGTTGGTAAAAGGGTTCACATAGAACCTTCATAAATAACCAAAATAATTAAAAATGAAATTTAGAAAGTAAAACTTGAGAGTTTACAAATTGGTTTCAAAAGAGAAGTTATAACTCTAAATACATATAAAAATTTATCCTAGAATTCTCTGCCCCGATGTCACAATATCAGAGCACACCCACAACTCAACGGTTGACATTCTAAATGCCACTCACAGCTGGATCTTCCTCACCTAAAACATCCACAAATTGTACGGTGAGAAAAGAAAACATTTATATATAAAGCACACAAAGAAATTCACAACATCATTTCATCATAACTTGGAATGTTATTTACAAGCATTTCTATAGATATATCATCATTTTATCAATCATTCATCTTCACATCTCAATTCACAATTACACCAATCCATCACAATCCACACAAATCTTACAATTAACCCTATGTCAAGGTCACGCCTGTAGCATCTCTTGCTCGAGGTCGTGCCACCCTCGACATAAGCATTAATTGCCTCACACATCCCACCCTATGCCAAGGTCACGCCTGAAACATCTCTTGCCCAAGGTCGTGCCACCTCCGACATAAGCATGAGAAATCACACATCCTACACTGTGCTAAGGTCACGCCTGCAACATCTCTTGCTTGAGGTCGTGCCACCCCCGACATAAGCATGAGGAATCACCCATCCCATACTATGCCAAGGTCACGCCTATAGCATTTCTTGCCTAAGGTCGTGCCACCCCTGGTCACAAGTGTGAGGAACCACAATCACATTCTCATTCACATCCACATCCACATCCACATCCATATCCACATCCACATCCACATCTCAATTCTACAATACATACACAATCCGCACAAAATAGTGGTTCACATACCCCTCAAGTAATTCACCATGAATCCTCATCTAGATCATCAATTTTATCAAATAATATAACAATAACATTCATAAATTAGTATAATAATCAATGGAATTAGCAATTTAATATAATCTTAATCCAAACAATAAAACCCCCAATTTTTTTCAAAACCTAACTCACAGGCATTTTTCTACAATTTCGTTCTTTCTCCCAGATCATTAGTTGTACAAATTATTAGCATATTTCTAATCCTCAATACATATACAGTCTAATGGAATCATTAATTCCTTAAACAGAAATAATCCAATTTTTTTCCAAAACCTAACTTACAAGCACTTTTCTATAATTTCGTTCTCTCTCCTAGAGCATCATTTTTACAAATAAATCATATATTCGTAGTCCTAAATATATACAGAATCACATAAGACCAATAATTTTCCAAACAGAAATAATTATAAAATTACTCATAATCCTAAGGGACTCTTCCTCTACCCAATTCCCTCATGTAACTCTACATATAAATAATTCTCTTTTCCCTCGTACCTGGATAAATAGTAGCTGAAATTAAGGATCTGGTTGATCTCCTCCGCTGGGTTCCTCTCGGTCTTTAGAGAGTGCAGAAGAAGAGAAGAGAGAAAAAAAAAGAAAAAAAATGAGAGGTGTGCCTTTTAGGAGTCGCAGAGAGCGCAATTTATAGGCATCAGGCTTCGCCGAAACGGCCCGTTCTGGACCCTTAAATCATGGGTAAAAATCACATCCAGAACGGCCCGTTCTCAAACCAGAACGGCCCGTTCTGGGGTGCATTTAATACTCACAACGGTCATATTTTGAAACGGCACGTTCTCACCTCCAGAACGGCCCGTTCTCAACTAAGAATCGTAGGCAAATTTAATGGTTTGGAACGGCCCGTTTCGGGCTACTAAACCACCTTAATTGGGCTCTTGGCCCAGTGAAAATTGGGCTGTTACAGAACTCAATGGCCATGAGTAATAGAATCATTTGAAAGTATCAATAGGAATGCATAGGAGGGAGATCGATGAAATCTATCCCAACTATTTCTCATATTTGTTTTCTTAAAATTAATTTATCCTTTGGTTACTTAAGTTTGATTAAGCATTCACATCAAATTTGGACATGTGTAATTACTCAAGTTTTACATCCACAAGTATCAATTAGTATACTAGAAATCAATGCTTACTTCACAAGTCCTTGAGGATTGACAACCTTTTAATTATACTACAGAGACTTCGGTTCGCTTGCCCAGAATACCAACAAGTTTCTTGGTGCCGTTGCCGGGGACTTGTGTCAAGACAGTTTGTGATTTCTATTGTTCTAGTTGTAGCTTGTTGTATATATTGTTCTATTTTCATTTTTGTTAACTATATTCTTTACCTGGTTGTTCTAACTTTTATGTTTAAGTCAGTCTTTGTATGCGAGGTAAAATTGGGTCCTAGGAATTTCTCCAGTATAGTCAGGCCAACCAAGGGGGTGGAAATGAAACCAGCACTATTATCTCTCATAACTGCCAATCAATTTGCAAGGATGGACCATGAAGATCCCTACACACACCTATCTTCTTTTTATGAGCTTATTGGCACTATAGGAATTCCTGGAGAAGATGAAGAAGCGGTATATCTGCGATTATTTCCTTTTTCTTTGACAGGTAAGGCTAAGACATGGCTGCAGGCCCACCCAAATTAGAGTTTGACCAGATGGGAGGATGTAGAGTGGAAGTTCTTGGCAAGATTCTTTCCTCCTTCCATATATATAAGTGCTAAATCAGCAATTGCAACATTCTCTCAAGGTGCTGATGAACCTTTGTGTGAAGCTTGGTAGAGATATAAATATTTATTGAGAAAATGCCCAAATCATGGGTTTGATGATGTTGCACAGCTCAACATGTTCTGTAATGGGTTAAGGCCACAAACAAAGATGTTATTGGATGCTTCTGCAGGTGGTTCTATGATGATGAAGGATTCTGAGGAAGCAATCACTATTATTGATGCTTTGGCAGCCAGTGATTACCAAGCTCACCATGATAGGAGTCAGCCCACAAAAAGGGGAATTCTAGAACTGGATACTCAAAATGCAATTCTAGCTCAGAATAAGCTTCTTTCTCAGCAGATGGAAGAGTTAAAGAAACAGATGTCCAAGCTTCAAGTAGGATCATCTTCACACTCTCAGCAGGTAATGAGATGTGATTTTTGTGCAGGTGATCATTCAAATGGACATTGCACCATCTCTAAACCAGATCAGGAGGAGGAAGTGAATTACATGAACAATCCAAGAAGGCAAGGGAATTTCTCTGGCAATTATAATCAGAATCAAGGCTGGAGGAATAATCAAAATCAGTATTCTGGGTGGAAGCAAGAAGCAGGGCCATCACAAAGGCAACCTCCACAGAAACCATATCAAAATCAGTTTTCTTATCAGCCAGATAGGTTATCAAAAATGGAGGACGGTCTTACACAGTTTATGCAGGTTTCCACAACCAATCAGAAAAATATCGAAGCCTCTATCAGAAATCTGGAAGTACAAATAGGGCAGTTAGCTAAGCAATTGGCAAATCAGCAAAGCAACAATTTCTCAGCCAATACACAGGTCAATCCTAAAGAGCACTTTCAGTCAATTACAACCAAGAGAGGCACTATGATAGGAAAGGGAATTGGTGATAATTTGAGAGAAAATAATGATGGAGTGGATGAAGAAAAGAGTGAAGTTGAGTTGGAAAGTGAGAAAGAGGTGGAGTTGAATAAAGAGGTAGAAAAAAATGAGAAAAATAAAAAAGAGAGTGAGAAAAATGAGAATAGAGATGGAGATGTGAAGGAGGAGAGTAAGAAGAAGGGGAAAGAAGTTGTTAGGCCTCCCCCTATGAAGAATTTACCGTATCCACATGCTCCATCAAAGAAAGACAAGGAACGCCAGTTTGCAAGGTTCTTTGATATAATCAAGAGGTTACAGATCAACATACCCTTTACAGAGGCTTTAGAACAGATGCCATCTTATGCAAGATTTATGAAGGAGCATCTGACAAAGAAGAGAAAATTGAGCGAGGATGGAACAGTGGAATTTGAGGCAGGTTGCAATGCTATAATTCAGAAGTCACTTCCACAAAAATCTAGAGACCCAGAGAGTTTCACTTTGCTAGTTACCATTGGCAATCTTTCTGTGGGGAAGGCATTGTTGGACTTAGGGGCTAGTATCAATCTTATGTCTTTATCTATGTTACAGAGGATAGGTGAGGTGGAGGTGAGACCTACCACGATGACTCTGCAGCTGGCTAATAGATCTATAAAGTATCCTCATGGCATTGTTGAAGACCTCTTGGTTAAAGTTGATAAATTTTGGTTCCCAGTTGATTTTGTTGTCATGGACATGGAGGAGGATTCTGAAGTTCCTCTCATTTTGGGACAGCCATTCATGAAGACGGCCAAGGTCATCATTGATGTTGATGATTTGAAAACTCAAGGTTAGAGTGTAGGACGATGAAGTGAATTTTAATGTCTCTGAAGCCATGAAACATCCAAGTGATAGGACAGGTTGCTTTAGAGTGGATGTGATTGATGAGTTATGTATGGAAGCTCAAAGAGAATTCTCAGTACCCACACCATTAGAGAAAGCATTGGTGAACGCAGTCAGTGAAATCAATGATGAGGAAGAAAAAGAAATTCATAAGTGTTTGGAGGAGTTGGACAAAGCAAGGGAGATTTCTCCTAATTCTACAAGTGTGCAAGATTTAAACAAGGAGGAAAAGTCTCAACCTCAAAAGTTAGAACTGAAGCAATTGCCAAGCCATCTCAAATATGTGTTTCTAGAAGCAAATGGTGGCAAACCAATCATAATCATCAGTTCCTTAACAATGGAGGAGGAAAAGAAGTTAATTGAAGTTCTGAAGGAGAATGAAGGAGCTATTGGGTGGACTCTGTCTGATCTAAAAGGTATTAGTCCTTCATATTGTATGCACCGGATCTTGATGGAACAGGATTATAGGCCTGTAGCACAACCTCAAAGGCGCCTCAATCCAACAACGAAGGAAGTGGTTAGAAAAGAGGTGATTAAGTTACTTGACGCTGACATGATTTATCCTATCTCTGACAGTGCATGGGTTAGCCCTGTTCAGGTTGTTCCTAAGAAAGGAGGCATGACAGTGGTGATGAATGACAAGAATGAATTGATTCCTACAAGGACAGACACTGGTTGGCGGATGTGTATTGATTATTAGAAGCTGAACCATGCCACAAGGAAGGATCACTTCCCATTACCCTTCATGGACCAGATGTTAGAGAGGTTGGCGGGTCAAGCCTACTACTGCTTTTTGGATGGTTATTCTGGATACAATCTGATAGCAGTGGACCCGAAGGACCAAGAGAAGACAACATTCACATGTCCTTTTGGTGTTTTTGCATGTAGGAAACTGACATTTGGATTATGTAACACACCAGCCACACTTCAAAGGTGTATGCTAGCATATTCTCTGATGTTGTTGAGAAATGTATAGAGATTTTTATGGATGATTTTTCTGTGTTTGGAGCATCATTTGATACATGTCTGGAGAATCTAAACATTGTACTGAGGCGGTGTGTTAAAACAAATCTGGTTCTTAACTGGGAAAAATGCCATTTTATGGTGACAGAAGGAATGGTGCTTGGCCATAAGATTTCTAGAAGAGGTATTGAGGTGGATCCAGCCAAAGTTGAGGTCATCTCTAAGCTTCCTCCACCAACAAATGTAAAAGGGATCAGAAGCTTCGTGGGACATGCTAGATTCTATAGGCGGTTCATTCAAGATTTTTCAAAGATCGCCAAATCGCTTAGCAACCTCCTTGTGAAAGATGTTAAATTTCACTTTGATGATAATTGCTTGTCTACTTTTTCATTATTAAAACAAAAATTGTGTTCAGCACCTGTAATCACTAGCCCTTATTGTAATTTTGATTTTGAGCTAATGTGTGATGCTAGTGACTATGTAGTAGGTGCTGTTCTGGGTCAAAGGAAAAACAAGATTTTTTATGTCATAGAGTATGCAAGTAAAGTTTTGAATGAAGCTCAAATGAATTATGCAATCACAGAAAAAGAACTACTTGCAATAGTGTATGCACTTAAGAAATTTCGTTCTTATTTGATTGGTTCAAAAATTACTGTGTTCACTGACCATGCAGCTATTAAATATTTGCTAACTAAATCTGATTCCAAACCAAGGTTGATAAGATGGATTTTGCTGTTACAGGAATTTGATTTAGAAATAAAAGACAAGAAGGGCTGTGAAAACCACATTGCAGATCATTTGTCAAGACTAGAAAATGAAGAGGTGACCATACTTGAAAGTGCAATCCATGGGGAATTTCCAGATGAGAAATTATTCTCTGTGCAAGAAAGGCCTTGGTTTGCTGATATGGCAAATTTTAAGGCAGTCAGGGTTATTCCAGAAGATCTCAATTGGCAGCAAAGAAAGAAATTCTTCAAGGATTCTACTTACTATGTGTGCGATGATCCTTATTTATTTAAGATTGGTGCTGATGGTTTGTTAAGAAGATGTGTTTCAGGTGCAGAGGTTAAGGATATCTTGTGGTACTGCCACAATTCACCTTATGAAGGTCACTATAATGGAGATCGTACAGCAACAAAGATTCTTCAGTCCAGATTTTACTGGCCTACTATCTTTAAGGATTCTCATGAACACTGCAAAAATTGTGATAAGTTTCAGAGAACTAGAGGAATTTCCAAAAGACATGAGATGCCTTTGCAAAACATTCTTGAAGTTGAAGTCTTTGACTACTGGGGAATTGATTTTGTAGGACCACTTCCATCTTCTTATTCTAATGAGTACATTCTGGTTGTTGTGGACTATGTCTCTAAATGGGTGGAAGCAATGGCAACTCAGAAGGCTGATGCACGAACGGTGATCAAGTTCTTAAAGAAGAATGTCTTTACCAGATTTGGAACGCCGAGAGTGCTCATTAGCGATGGTGGTTCTCATTTATGCAATACACAGCTGAAAAAGGTGTTAGAGCATTATGGTGTGAGACACAAGGTAGCTACACCTTATCATCCTCAAAAAAATGGACAGGCAGAGGTTTCTAATAGGGAGTTGAAGAGAATTTTGGAAAAGACTATGGCCAGCTCAAGGAAAGATTGGGTTTTGAAATTGGATGATACACTGTGGGCTTACAGGACAACATATAAAACTCCAATTGGACTCTCTCCGTTTCAGCTTGTATATGGAAAGGCCTGTCATCTCCCAGTTGAGTTGGAACATAAGGCCTATTGGGCTTTGAAAGCATTAAACTTTGATTTGAAAGCTGCAGGTGAAAAGAGGAAGCTTCAGTTACATGAGCTTGAGGAAATGCGGTTACATGTCTATGAATCTTCCCAGATCTATAAGAGCAAAGTGAAGTCTTAACATGACAGGAAGATTGTACAGAGAAACTTCCAACCAGGCCAACAGGTATTGTTGTTCAATTCCAGGTTGAGATTATTCCCTGGAAAGCTTAAGTCCAAATGGTCAGGCCCCTTTTTGATCAAATCAGTCAAGCCTTATGGGGCAGTGGAGTTGGAAGAGCCAAATTCTGGAAGATCTTGGATGGTGAATGGATAAAGAGTTAAGCCATACTTGTGTGGTGAGGTTGAGAAACTTACCACTGTCATTCATCTCAATGATCCATGACTTAATGAAGTGTCAAGCTAATGACAATAAAGAAGCGTTTTCTAGGAGGCAACCTAGCCAATATGTTTTGAACTTGGTTTCAACTATTTAGCATTAACATATTTAAGTTTTAGTTATGTGTTGAAGTTTTAGTGAGTAAGTTTAGGATCTAATACTTAGGTTAAAAAATTGTTCTTTTTGTCTCATGTATGCTTATTGTAGATAAGTGTAGAAGAAGAATTAAAGGGAATTTGGGGTCAAATTAAGCCATATCAGGTAATAAAATTTCTACTCCAGGAGTCAAGGGCTCAGCCCCTGTGAAGGGCTCAGCCCCTCAAATCAGTTGACAAAACAGAGGAGCCTCTAGGGGTCAAGGCGCACAGAGTGGCCCAGCGCCTAAGATGAAAATTTTCAAAGGGGGTCTCTAGAAGCAAAGCGCTCAGCGCCTATGAGTAGTTGAGCGCCTGGGATGATCAGAAATTTTGGGCAGTCTCTAGAGCCTAAGCGCTCAGCGCTTTTCAAGGGCTTAGTGCCTTGTGAGAGCATTGCTCTCTGGAGCCAAAAGGCTCAGCGCATTTGAAGTGCTCAGCACCTAAAATTGAATTACTCTCTGGAACCAAAAGGCTCAGCGCATTTGAAGCGCTCAGCGCCTAAAATCGAATTACTCTCTGGAGCTCAAGCGCTCAACGGTTCTAAGGTGTTGAGCGGATGAGTGTCGGGCTTGGGTTCAAATCAAAAATAGAAGCCCGTTTGCACAAGGGTTAAAAACATAACCCTAAATCAAAATTGTCCATTCCCATTCTGCTGCGTATTGAAAGAACCCTTCTCCTCCCTCTCACTTATCATTCCTATTCTGTTTCTCATTGCCCTAAATCAATCAACACAAACTCACCTCGCATTCCAGGTATACTCTATGACCACCCCAATGGGAATGGACAATTTTGATTTAGGGTTATGTTTTTAACCCTTATGCAAATGGGCTTCTGTTTTTGATTTGAACCCAAGCCCGACACTCATCCGCTCAGCACCTTAGAACCGCTGAGCGCTTGAGCTCTAGAGAGTAATTCAATTTTAGGTGCTGAGCGCTTCAAATGCGCTGAGCCTTTTGGCTCCAGAGAGCAATGCTCTCACAAGGCATTGAGCCCTTGAAAAGCACTGAGTCTTTAGGCTCCAGAGACTCCCCAAAATTTCTGATCATCCCAGGCACTCAGCCACTCATAGGCGCTGAGCGCTTTGCTTCCAGAGACCCCCCTTTGAAAATTTTCATCTTAGGCGCTGGGCCACTCAGAGGCGGTGAGCGCCTTGACCCCCAGAGGCTACTCTGTTTTGGCAACTGATATGAGGGGCTGAGCCCTTGACTCCTGGAGCAGAAATTTTATTACCTGATATGGCTTAATTTGACCCAAAATTCCCTTTAATTCTTCTTCTACACTTATCTACAACAAGCATACATGAGACAAAAAGGAAAATGCATAATATGAACCAACATAAGAACAATTTTTTAACCTAAGTATTAGATCCTAAACTTACTCACTAAAACTTCAACACATAACTGAAACTTAAATATGCTAATGCTAAATAGTTGAAACCAAGTTCAAAACATATTGGCTGGGTTGCCTCCCAGAAAGCGCTTCTTTATTGTCATTAGCTTGACACTTCATTAAGTCATGGATCATTGAGATGAATGACAGGGGTAAGTTTCTCAACCTCACCACCCAAGTATGGCTTAACTCTATGTCCATTCACCATCCAAGATCTTCCAGAATTTGGCTCTTCCAACTCCACTGCCCCATAAGGCTTGACTGATTTGATCAAAAAGGGGCCTGACCATT